CTCCCCCATAGATTCCTTCTTCTGACTGCTATTTCCATTGAAATTAAAAAAAAAAAAAAAAAAAAAAAAAAAAAGATAATCTTTAGGCAGTCAGCCTAGCAACTCAGTGTAAATAACTAATTTGTAGATGTTAACACTGATTATAAGCTCCAACCTCATGCATGTGCTACTCAGAGGGGGAAAGGAAAAGTTTATTGAATATGGATCCAAGCCTAGCAATCCTTCTTTGCATGATTCCTTACTCCTATAAATATATTATTTAACTGAGGATTGGTCTTTACAAACTTAATGACTTCTATGGCTAAATGTACTGATGGCTTCAGGTTTTGGCTTGTGCAAATGGCATTTTCGTGTGTGTGTGTGTGTGTGTGTGTGTGTGTGTGTGTGTAAGCAAGCATTTGGGCATTCATACTAGGTCTAGTTAAGCAAGTCACATGACTAATGCACGTTTGTGCATGCAAGCTAACATGCATAATATGTGAACACACAGAGCGGAAGTCACCATACAACTCTGTTCTTCCAGTAGGGAAGTACTTGTAACCCACTGGTACTGCAATTCTATACACTGAAAAACGTTAAAATATGTTAAACACTTTTTGTTTCTCTCCTTCTTTTTTTTTTTTTCTTTTAAAGCTTTTTAAGTAACAGTGCTGCATATAATTAATTTAAAATATACTAATTTGGCATGTTCTTAAGATGAGTCTTTCATGCTCGTATCTGTATGCGCTCTTTGGACCTCATCCAAGACCACTGAGATCAATGTAAAGCCCATCCCTGTCTTCAGGGCTTTTGGTTGAAGATCTGAGTAATTCTTGTAAGTATGGAATAGATCTGTTATTTGAAATCAAAATGTGACTCATGGAGAATAGTTTTGTGCTCTCACTTTCTGCTGAAAGAGTCTTAGGATTAACATTTATAGGCTTTGAGGAAGGGCATATATTAAAGAGGAGAAGAATGGCACTGGGGATGACACTAGAATAAGGTTTCCAGATGAGAGAGAGAGAGAGACGGAAGATGACAATGTGAGAAATGAGGCAAGATTTTTTTTTTGGAAGAATGGCTTCAGTAAGGCTTACTAGACAGGAGACGAATAGTGTTTGTCCTATCTAACCCAGCAGGCAAAAAATTAAATTATTATATATTCATCATATGATTATCATTTGTAATTTAATTTTTGCCTGATAGGCTAAATGGTATGAATCTTAGTGCATATATAAGATTTGGGCATCCAGAATATGTTCTGACCAGATATTGATCAGAGCAAGTGTTGCAGGAGACTTCACATTTCAGGTGTTTTGATGCATTGGGAATTTTCACCTGGCTCGTTATTCAGCAGCATAGGACAAAAAGACAATGACAGGTCAGAATTTGACCCAGTGGGTGCATCTACACATGCACTTTACTGAGGAGTTGACTAGATCTGCAGTAAAGCAGCATTATCTACATGTGCTCTGGTATTGGGGTACAGTAAACTAATTAACTCCACTGTAGGATAGCACTGTTAGGGACGGTACTATCTTATGGTGGAGTACTTCACTGTGCTGAAATACATGTAAATTGCACCCAGTCAGCCAGATGGGGGCCTGCTCTGCCCCAGCTCAAATTGCTGCTCTCCCAGGTGCATATGTAGATTCTGCATCAGGGAGCAGTTCACTGTGGCTCAAAGTGCTTTGGAGCTTATCGCACTGCATTAATTGCACGTGTAGATCCACCTAGTGTGTATGAATTTTGGAACCCAGGTAATTATAGAGTTTTGTTTTTGTCCTCCCTGAACGGGCCATATTTATAGACCATAAAACCATAGTCCTTTCAGAGTTACTTTTTTCAGTGAAATTGGCACATATTCCACATAGTGCAGCCAAAGTGAAAACTGACAGATAAACGCTTTCACTTCTTTCACATTTACTATTTTATTTCTCAGATGACTACACACATTCTTGAAATAGACTTTTAAAGGGCATAAAAAGAAATGGGTGAGAAATCTGTAGAGCAGATTTAATCAGTGTTGTGTCCTACTGTACAAGCAAGATATTATTCTGAAGTTTCTTAGTTTTCATATGTGCGTTGTGAAAGCTGGAGCAGGAATATCTTCCCCACTTACCCTGAGACATAAAAAGTCAAGAGAGAGCGCTGCTTCCTTGCTTCTAGTTCTCCCCTCAGGACACACATTGTTGCATATACAGTATGTAGAAACCTTAGCCTCCTCTACTAGCACATGTAGAAAAGACTTCACTACAGTGTACCTCTTTTCTCCATTAGAATGGGAAGTGACTTCTGCAAGACATGTTTCCAGATAGACAGACTGTCAGAGCTACATAAAGAGTTAGCAATGGATGCATGATGGTTCTTGTCTCCACATACACTAGTGCAAGAGATTTGCCACCTCTATTGCTTAAGGAAATACCAAGAATACTCTAGAACAGGGGTCGGCAACCCCCAGCACGTGTGCTATCTGTGGTACGTGGAGACATTTTTCCCAACACGCCGGGAGGCACGCAAGAAATTGTTTATTTTATTTTATTTTTTAAAATTGCTGCTCTGGGCTCTTGCCTGCAGCTACAAGTTGCAGTGCTGTGGCAGGCACCGGGGCAGAGCCAGAAGAACGCAGGCAGGGATGCTGTCTGTGCTCTATTGCCCCTGCCCCTTGCTCCCAGGCTGCACCCTCCAGCCCAGCTGGCCCCTGGAGGGAGCTGCCCAGGCAGGCAGGCACCCTGTCCCACCCGGGGCAGCACTGAGGGGCCGGGTGGCTGGGACAGGGTCTGGGCGGCGTGGGGGGAGGCACTGTGGACAAGCCTTAGGAAGGTGGGGGCTGGGCAGGAAGTGGGGGCTGTCCTGGGCCTCTGCAGGCTTGAGCTATGGTGGGTGGGTGGGCAGGCGGGGGTGCCCAGTGGCACCCGAGGTGCGGCCTGGCTCGGCCCTCGCAGCTCCACAGGGATGGGCTGCAGCCGCCCTGTGTACGTGAGGATGCTGCCTGGCTGGGACAGGACGCTGGGCTTGGGGGACTTCCCTCTCCGGGATCAGCCTCCCTGCATGCTGGGCACAGCGCAAGCAGCTCAGAGCTGTCCCCGGTGCAGGAGCCTGGCCATGGGAGCCCCCTGGAGCTGGTGAACAGCCACCGTGGCTGCCTCAACCTGCCTGGGCCCAGCCTTGTCTACCCGCAGCTCCCCTCAAGGGGCCAGGGCTGGGGCAGGCACTGCACAGAGCCACTGCACTGCTGGCTCCCAGCTGGCTCAGACCTGAGCACCGGCTGCAGCAGCTGTTCCCAGAGCCTGGGAACAGCCTGAGGCTGCAGCTCTCACTCACAATGTACCCGGCTGGCACAGAGACCAAGCAGGGAGCTCCCTGAACCCGGCATCCTGCCCCAGCAAGGCAGCGTCCCTTTGTGGGCAGGGTGGCTGTGCCCCATCCCTGCAGAGCTGCACGGGCCAGCTGGGCCCCATCTCTGGTGCTGCTGAGCCCCTGCTGTGGCCAGAGTCTGTGGAGCCCTGGGGCAGCCCCTGCTCCCTGCCTGAGGCTAGCTGTCCTCCAGCTGTGGCCTTCCCAAGGGCCTGGCCAGGCCAGCCTACCCATGGTGACTCCCCTGGTGCCTGCTGCTCCCTGCTCCTCTCACCCCCTCTTCTCCCTCATCATAACATGCTTAACAAGAAGAAAAAAATTCACAAGTACAAGGCAGTACATGAAGTTTTATTTATTGTCATAAGGTTTTGAATTTTTAGAAAGCCTGGTATTTACTATAAAAATAAACAAAAAACAATAAAACAAAACAAAAAAAAGCAACATTAATGATTATTAATTGTTTTAAATATGCAGTGCATCCTGCCATGTATCCCTTCCAGCCCAGTTTTGTTTTTGTGGTGTGCTGGCACTCTGGCACCTTACAAGGTAGACATTGTGGGTTTTTTGGCACTCCAGCAAAAAAATGTTGCCTACCCCTGCTCTAGAAGATGATCAACAAGTTTATTCTCTGTGAATATTCTAAAAGGTGAACATCATAGAATTTTCTGCCCCTTCTAGCTCTCATGGGTATTACAAATTAGGATGAGGAAGTCTGAACTCTTAGGTTTGACTGCCTGCCAATTGTCATGACGTGGGCTAGAAGAGGACATTATGTTTATGAAATTGTGACCCATGTATTAGAGGACACAAGATGAATAGGACTTACTGGATTTTCACCTAACTACACATTATGGGCATATTCATTGCCCAGTGTCAAATCCTGAGGGCAGGTATCAAAGCTAAAATTATCACAAGTGAAACTGTCAGGTGATGGCTTCTTTCTAGAATAATGTACTAATTTCATTTTTCCTAAAGACAAGTCAAATCCATTTTGTGCTGGAATATTAATGTTATAATAGATTTTTGGAAACCTTATTGAGTCATCACTAGCTCCAAGCACTCAGTAGGTGACCTTCAAGTGATGTGTTGCACACCATCTATCTTCTTGCTGATCTTTTACTACAAATCCTTTCATTCCTTCCATAATTACTTGCTTACGGTTTTTTCACCTTTACATCTGGCATGACCTATGTGTATATATATTCTTATCTGTTGATTTCTGACAACTGGGTTTCCTTTACTCCAATAATATCTCTGACATAACATTCACTGTCTTTTCTGTCCAGGGACATGCAATAGTCCTTTATCTTACAGGCTTAAGTGTTCTTTTTGTCACCAAACCTTGTTACCTCCAGGCAACAGAGGGAAAGGAGAAGGGAGAAGGCTCCTCCCAGGAGCTGAACTTTTGAGACTCGCAAGGGAAAG